CTTGTCTTCCTCTTCGTACTCGCCACCCTCTTGCCTTTGGTGACTTTGACTCTGGAAAAACATCGTGTCATCCCTTATTTCCGTGAAATCCCGCTGATTGATCCCGTTGGATGGTGAATTAGTGAATTTGTTTGAACGTAAATGACTATATTATGTAAAATATAGTCCTGGAGAAAAATGACGAAAGATTTGGAAAAACTTCTGGACAACTCTTGTGGAAAAGAGGATTTTTATTCGCAGTTGGTTTAAAATAGAAATGTGAGTTCGAATATTTATACTGCAAATTTTTCGTTCTACGAATGTTGATTGCCAATATCGAAGCAACGGCATTATCGATAGATGGAATTCTTTGTCGATACTACTAGCTTCTGTTGAAAATAAATATTGTTTCAACTACATCCGAACAGTTTCAACGGAAACACTTAGTGGTTTTATTATGTATTATATTATTAGGCGGTATCATAGTTGTACCATCGTGTTGTTGTTAGTCAAATAAACACGTATAAATTTCTTCTTTGTGTTCTCTTTCGTATGGTATTTATTCTAAATATTACGAGCACTTCAATCCCTACTGATTTTCAATTTTTCCAATTATTTCATATTACTTTTATTTTTAAATACTTATTAGTTTAGAATTGAAAGATCACCATAATTTTCTATGAACTTCAGTCTCCACTGAACAAAGAGCAAATAAATCGTTTCTGTTTATCAGTTATTTCGATTGGATATTTTTGAAAACCTATTAGAGTCTAAAGTCTTTCCCTCCGATGTGTTTTCGAAGAGGAGAGGCAGCAGCTTTTGAAGATACGACGATGAAACCGGAGACGAAGAGATCGAAAGGGGAGGAAACGTCGTTATTTGTTTTCTCGCCGTTTCTGGTGCCGTCCTTTGCTTCGTTCTGTCTTGAAATATTAAGAAACAAATCACCGTCGATCCGACGGCGGAAGGAACCGGCGGATTAGCGTTTTAGATGCATTGCGAAGTATCATGGAACGCCGCTAGAGCAGACATCCTCGGAATGTTCATGAAAAACAGCCAGAATTGTCTTCGTCGCGTTAATCCTGCGCCCCTGTTTTCCGTTCCTTAAATCATTCGGCTGTTATAAGTAAGAAAAACATTTACAGAGGCAACGGCAGATGGTAAAAATAATTTTTGTTCGGAAAGAAAAATCCTATTTAAAAACGATCATTATGTCCTTTCGTAAAATCTCTTGAAAAAAATTACACATAATTTTATCATAAATATAACCTACAAAAAAATAGTATTTAATTTATATAGAAATAATAATATCAACTTATGCGTGATAGGTTGAGGAAAATTGATTTTAATGATCGACAAGTTTATAAAGAAATTGATACGAACTCCTGTTCGAAGTCACGTTACAAGAAAGTTTTTTTCCCGCATGTTTTATTTACGAGATGGGGAAACCGCAGAAGCCTTTCCTCTTCATCGGCGAAAATGGCCCGCAAACGCAGGCGGTCTTGTTTGCGGATCGTTCCGTTTTACTGCCTCGTATCCGCTCGAATCTAAACAATCGTTCCTTATTGACAAAATCGGCGGGCGTCTGCGGGTTAGCCGGTCCACGGATTGTTGCTTCTGCGACGTTTTACGAGTGTGGGAAAATTCACAGCGCGAGCAGAACCTACGTCGTTAAACCGTTTCGCCTTGGGGCCCCGGGTGAATCGCAAAAAATAAACGAACCTCCCCCCGTGGCGGCGAATTTTCTTGGAAATAACGAGCTACGCTAGCTTATGTTAAATTGTTGATGCTAGAAACGCGGTCGAAAATCTGCTAATGGAATTTTTGTCAATTACAACACATGTGACGAGGGAGTAGAAATTATTCAATAGTAAATTTCAGTGTCTTAAAAATTTGAATTAAATACAGTGTATATTCTTTTCTTTTTTTTTTCTTTTAAGAAGCTTTTAAATATAGATTTGAAAATGATATCTAATTCAATACGAAGAGATCATAGAGAAAGTTTAGGCGAACCGTAAGATTAGAAAGATCGTTTGGGCGGTATGTTTGTTTGCCTTTTCGATATGTAAACGCTTGCACATACATGTACACACACACATACACACATTAAATCGAGGAAAAGTGTATACACAGAGTAGTATAATTTATTCAACATCGAGCCATGTTGTTTTGTATTGTTTGTTAATATAATTTTTATGTTAATCTCTTGGTTATTAGCTTGTAAACTCTTTCAGGATCTTGCTCATTGCAGCTGGATTATCCTTTGGCACCTGATAAATAAATAGTATAATTTTGTGACTTGTACAGATAATCGACGAGTTATTACAAAATAAAAAAGTTGAAAAAATTTGATATTCTGCGTGCTGTTTATATTGTATTTTGTAGTTAGGTTTTTATTCACCATATGTCCAGCCCTTTCGACCCAGTACATGGCGAAATTGCCATGAGACTTTACGTAGCCTTCGATATTGTCTTTCACCACCAAGGGATTCCTAGTGGAGGCATGCCAGGAAGCGGCGTTCTTCCATTTCATTTTCTCAACCCAGCAAAGAGTGCCTGCAGCGTTGTATCAATAGAAGATTATGGTTCCCCGAAAGCAGTAGAAAACGATTGCAAAACGGCTATATAACTTGTTAGCAAGTGGGAATACGAATTGATGAAACAAATACATTCGATGATTTTACAAGCGATTCTCTTAAGAAATAATTTTTGTAGAATTATACAGAGTCTTCTTTATTTATTATCTTGCTATTAAAATGAAAAATTAGAAGTAAAAAATACCTGGAGTGTCTACGATGAGATCCATGTGGCCGGAGAGAACTACTACCTTCAGACTAGTTTCATTAAGTAGACTCTCCACTGAAAGAATTTTATAAGTGAACTTATTTCATATGTATTGGTACTCTAAATCGAATTATATGAAATAAGTATGGCTGGAAGCTTTGCTTATACGTAATATTTTATAATTTCTGTGTCGTACAATACCTATATTAACGACAGGTTTCATGAAATCCTCTTGCAATTTGCTGACTACCACGTTAGACTGTACGCCATGTGCTACGGGCAGTTTGAGAGCGGATCTTACAGGACCATTCATCAATTTACTCAAAGAAGCATCGCTATAGGTCGCATACACTAAAATGTTCAAATAATTGTGAAAAATTATCCTTTAAAATATAATCCATATTACTACAAAATAACAATATACTTTGTGCAAATGTCGGTTCCGACGAAAGTTTCTTTATAAGCGAGTATTGCTTGTGATAATTGGGCTCCATTTTCGTCAGAATATTGTAGAAGTCGATATTATTGGTGACTTCAGCGATCACACCTTCCGTGTAAGACCACAATTTAGTCGCTGTCCTCCATTCATTAAGCTTCACAGCATCTTTCGTCATGTTGGCGGCATGTTCGACTTTTTTGAAACCATTCGTGTCGACCATGCCCTGGAAAAATATTTTTTTGTTTTAAAAGTGGTATGAAAATATTTTATCTATGTTGAACAGAGGTGTGTATGTATACCGTGGCGAGCAAGAAGGGCGCCCAAGTCATCACGGAATCGATAGGAGAGATCCAGGCGTCACCAAGAGCAACACCCTTTAAATTACTGTTAATAGTTCCTTGTTGTTGCGCCTATAATTGAAATAAAACAAAGCTAGCATAAAAATCAGAAAAATGTACTTTTATACCAATAGTATCAGACAAGTTCAAATAATCGAATAGAATGAGAAGAAGAAGGAAAAGATTCCACTGGACTTCATTTTCTGGAAACCGAAGTACATAACTGATTTGCAGCTGAACTAATGATTAATACGAACAACTTTCTATCATGAATCCTTTCCTTTTTCTTTTCTTTCCCGTTCAATTCGTCAGCAAAGTTAATATCAATTCGTACAAGTGAACTCAATACTCAAGATTTTTTTTCTGTTCTATTCTTTCGAATATCAAATCATCGTGTTAATAACTATCTCACCTTGTACCATACTAGAGCAAATTCTGCGCCCATTTTTCCTCCATAAGATTCGGTCGTAATATAGGTAGGTACTTTGGAGAATTCTGGCAACCGTTGAAGGAAACTTTTAATGCACTCCAAGAGATCTTGAGCAATTTGTGCATTCGTGGTGGTATATCCTGCCGTAGAGGTGGTGTAACTGAAGCCAGTTCCAACGGGATTGTCGATGAAGAGGACGTTGTATTCCTTGACCTGCGAGAAAAATGTTTCTCAACTTTCAGTATTCAATTACAGCACGTTTGCATATATATGTACATTAAAAAATAAAAAAAATTAAGGAAAAACAGTAAATAAAGACAAATGATAAAATAGTAGCCCGAAAAAAACAAATACTCTGAAGTATGTGAAAAAAATGATAAAAAAGATTAATCTTATTCGAAAGTCCAACAGATTATGAAACATCTGTCTTATCGATGACTTAATTTCGTGAATCTCGAATTTGTCTTGTCAACACCGATATCGATGTCCCTTTAGAAAGAACACGATAAAATATGTGTACAGAGTCTAGACTAGATACAGAAGATTGATCGTTTCATTGATAAGTTCAACTATAACTGAACTGTTTGAACTCATTCGCATACACATATGCTTTTTTTCTTTTTTGATACAGAAAGAATTCTGTGTTTGAATTCTTATGAAAATAATTAAATTAATAATATTATTTAACCATTAGGTGTTTGAATGATCACTGGTGCTCACTCATACTTTTGGCTCTTTAAAATTTTAATTAACCTGTATATCAAATTATTAAGTACCCAACAACACTCAATGGTTTTTGAGATATTCACTCCCAAATAAAAGTCAATGGAAAAGTTGCTCAGGATTCGAAGGGTTAAATGTAAGGGGTATATCCTAAAAAAGAAACCGAGACAATTTATCGTTCGTGTTAACGTTCTGGATACAGTTATATCCAGATTCTGAATGTTTTTTTTTTCCTACCCAAGTGGTGTTCCTCGGTTTCAGATTCACGTCCAGTGATCCCAGTTCCTCGAAGTTTCCATAGGAAGTGGAGGATGCACCAGGTCCACCTTGCAGCCAGATGATCAATGGTTTCTCAGTGAAAGAGGATACATTTGCTGTTGTATAATACAGCCACCAAAACATGTTCGAAAAGGGACGTACTTTCGCATAGCCCCAATCTTGTTCTCCAGGGCCGAATCCTTGTTTTCCTGTCGAGTAAAATCAGTGTTTATTCAGTGACTTCAGTATTTCTCGTCGAATTTACACGAAACGTTTCACAATTTCATTATTTATTTTCAACAGAAAATTACCGGCGCTAGTGGGTTAACTATGTGACAGTATTAATTCAGAGAGAAATTAGATAATATAGAAACGACAAACAAAAATTTCACTGGTGTTAATTTTTTTTCTCCACTTGGTATAGTAAGCACATACATTGTCGGAAAAATCAGGTAGCTTGATTGTCGCGCGGTTCAACTTTGGACGCTTAAACATATTTGCTAAGTTTCAGGATTCGACAGAGCAAATGATTCTTTGGCGAAATAACGGTTATCCGTGGAATTATTTTTACTTAAGACGAATATTTCTCGAGTGAAGAAATTTTGGAATTTTTATTTCGATAAAAGGTAAATAAAAGAAGAAAAGAAATGTTGTTTATACGTGGTAGAATTTTTAATTTAATAATTCATGAAAATAACTGAAACCGGCGACTGAGAATATTAATATCGAAGATGAACAAGCTGTAGAAATCGGGATTTATGTACGTCAAGCAAAGTATTCTTACCAAGTACTCCGGAGGAGAAACAAAGTGTCGCGAGTAGAAGTATCGGGAACCTCATCATTGTTGCCTGAATAACAGTCAATCGAGAACTAAACGTTCAAAGTGTCACTTCAAACAAGGTAGACTTATCTGTCATTAACGATTGATTAGATATACAGCCACCGATTAATCGAGCTATTCTCATTTTTCAGTGTCCCAATCACGGCCGTAATTACTTTTTCGCAATCGAAGGATTAACAGACGGATACGATAATCGGTTTCTTATTAATTCCTTCCACTTGAGAAACTTTACGAAATACAGTACAAGCTTCAGTCCACTTCGAACAGTCTCACTGAGAGTTCATCGACATGTCACAGCAGTATAAATACCTTGCCTTCGTGGTCATTATTATTTGTTCCGTTACTTCATCACCGAATTATGTGTATACCCATCTTTCCTTGTTTGTCAGGATCTCGAATTGGTTCTCAGGTGTACATAAAAGTAATAGGACAAATTGAAACGAGAATATGCGTATATCGTTTTAACAAACGAAACAGAAATAGAGGTTATACGTATGTTGTAAGTTTTTTTTTTTCAGCAAGTTTTTCATTGACGAATTAATCAAAGATAAAGCTAACATCGTTTCTATCTTGTTGGATGAAATGATGCTGGTTTCCATTTTGTATTTGACAAATCGTCGATCTTCGAACTCGTACGAGAAGGATCAACGATCGATCACGAGGATCTACAGTTTGTATAAGTAATCGTTGGGAAATCAAGACTCCCCGTGGAAGGTCAAGTTTGAGGAGAATTCGTAAAAAAAAAAAAAAAAAAAACTTGAACCCGTCCGTGTCTCGGTTCCAGTTGCGTTGATGTAATCGCGCCACTTTGAACGTTCTACGGAATAGGAACTTCCTCCGTTGATTTCTGTGCCAATGCGCTTCGGAATGTGGTTCCTTGGCCACGAAATCTCGCATCGATCGACAAAATGAATCGCGTGATTCACGGCCTGTCAAAGATATCGGATTATTTACGAAATTTTTTCTCTTTCTCCGTGAAAGAAGATTTTTTGAAGAGAAATACCATGAAATCTTGAAATTCTTCCGTCTTCAAATCAGATTAACGTGTACGTTTATTATAATGTAGCATTCGATAATAACTTTTACTCTGCTACTCCAGATCCCCTTCTTTTCGTTCTTCTTTGGAAGTAATTCTGTGAAAATTATTTTATAAAAATTAAATATTCGGTAATTCGATGGATGTTGGTATAAATTCTTCGTTGTTCGCATACATTTTCGATTATGTACAACTTCCAGTTGAATTAACTGTGTTACATTATGTAAATTTGAGCGGGAAAAAGTATTCGGGTATAGTTGCGAAAGGTACGTTTTCACTTTATCATTATCTCGACGATCTTTCTCGCAGTACTTTGAAACCACTTCGAGCAGAAGTGTTGACGGATATCGGGAAAGTGAACGAGACAAATCCAGCACCAATTAAACACGTTCATCTCCAAATGCGACAGTGAAATTTCGTTTTTTTCTTTCTCGTAAAATGAAGGTCGTTGTTTTTCATTCAGCCTTTGTTACGAAGACTGACCTAACCCGTAAAAAAGAAGTACAAATTAAACTAAGATAGAAATGTAAGATGACGAAGGATTTTCTCTTAAATTTAAGGAATAATGCAATTTCTAATTAACCTTCCTTACCTTCCTTTCGAGAACACTTGTCCAACTTGTTATGAAAATAAAAATTGTTAGCTGCAACAACAACGAGTAAAGTAATATATTAAAAGTAAATGAATATTAAAATATATTATTTTTCATAAAATTAATAGGAATTGAGGAACAGTAATATTATGCAAAAGAATGATTAAAATTTACATAGGGTGCCGAGGCATCCACGTACGTAATTACGTCATACTGTACTACGTACTTAATTCAAGGTTAAAGGGAGAAATTTCAGAGAAACAAGAAACATCATAACTCAGTTATATTGATCCTTGGTGCCCTTAAAAAAATGGAAGTCACGATTGAATTCTTGATGTTATAAAGATATTCTTAAAAATTACAAATTTCTTGCAAAATTTTCCGATCACCGCATTTATGGGTGTTCTTGACGTCATTAACGAGGATAATCAAAGTCGAGAGTATCGCAAATATACTCGTACTTCTTATCGATCACAATTGAGATTATTCTCTGTGCTCTTTTTTAGTACATGCTTGACATCTGCAGGGCTTTGTTGGAACACCAAGTGCACACGTACACACGTAGCTGGTGTTTTACAATATAGGCGATGCGTGTATGTAATACGTTACGTAACCGACTGAGTTACGAAGTCGAAGAAATGAGGTACGGCGTCATTATAGAAATCCCAGTCACGAACATTCTTTGTCGTATTCGTTTCGGAATGCAATTTTTCTTCCTGTATCAACCACAGCGATTTGATTGACTACGTGATCATTTAGGAAAATTCTAATACCTTGGAGTTGCTGTTTTACTTTGAACTTTTTGCTGCCAGTTTTTGTCATTAAACAATTTTCAGATATTCTAATCGTATATACTACAGTTTTTGAATTACATCGTTCATTCACTGTTCTCTCTTTGTTCAAAAACGAACGAATTTTTAAAGAGAAAGCTCTTTCTGTAATAAGAACCATTAAAAAATGTTTGACAAACAAGATTCTTCAAAAGTGCAATAAAACAATTATTCTGTTTCAAAATCGTATTTCGAAATACATACATATTCAAAAATCGCAAGTTAATACGAATTAATAACTTGAATGTAAACCAATGGAAGTGAGGAGGTTCGATTTAGTAGCAACATCGATTATCTCAATGATAATTCGATTGAATACTGTTGAAGTGTGAAAAGGTTCAAGTGGCGGGGAGATAAAACGGTGCCGATAATTTTCTCTTTAACGAGAGTGATCGTAACGAGCATGATTAACGACAATCGATCAGGCAGTTATTGCCTCGAACAAGTTCGAATAAATTGATACTTAGCGGCGGAGAAATGCTCTCTATCGTTGCGTACTGTATACATATGTACGTATGCTGAAAGTGAAAAATAGTTGCGAGGGAGAAAGTGACAGCGTCATCGCTTGAGCATTCATCGTAGAGGTGCGATTAAGAAAAAAAAATGTTTCTCAATGTTAGCCCCGGGCAGTCAAACGAAGTAAAATGGTCAGAAATGTGTTTTTTTCTTCTTTCTTTCATTTTTGTTTTACATAAAGCGCTCTTATCTATCATATTTAAGAATTCAATAAACATGGTAATTCTAATCTGACCTAACCTAATTGTTTCAAACGAAAGTTATTGTCGACCGATGAATACTCAGAGTATACTTTTCCTTTAAAAAAATACAAAGAATTCGCATTCCATTAATGTTGACCCACTAAAAACTGCTAAACGAGTGAAAAATTCATAAAAAAATCCGAAACAAGAGAAATTGTCCCCGTGGCCAGGTATCAATTGCCTGTTCCAGTGTTTTACAGCGTTTCATTGTAGGTATTTTCTAAAACAATGTCAATCGATCAATCGGCCACTTTCACGCATAGGTAATTGTAGATTATGTGATTTTCGTAATTGGTATTCATGAAACGCGTGAACGTTTGACGCCTCGTCACGTATTTACTGGTCACGGGATTTTCGTATCAACGTCGAACATAATCGTTAGGACGGGAAAGGGGTAAAACAAGCTGGTTCAAAGCTGTGCAAATCATTAATGAAACATGAAATGTGCGAGATTAAACAAGCTTACATCGAAAGTATACATAAAAATCGATGGAATTTATGGACAGATTGATAAGTGTCGTTGAGATTAAAAATGTATCGCTTTAATGAACTATATCTTGACTAATAAATCACTGATACATTGTGCAACAGATTATAAACAGATGCGACAGATGATTCTATTCAATTCTGATTATTTACATTTATATCATTATTATTATTATTAAAGTATTATTTAACTACTGACTATTAATCACAGAAATTACCTCCGGTACTAGAGATTGTAATATATTAATAGACTGTTATACAATGCATAATAATTGTTATAATCGTTACTTCAGTGAAGATATTAATTTTCATAATTTATACGCGTAGTGAATGAGTAGATAGTAGACATTGTTTCCACTACACGCGTTCTTTACTCAGGAGACTGTATAAGAACTGGCGATAACTGCTAATTGTCATTTTCCCTCGATCCTTCGACGCCTAAGGATCTCTCTGGCTCTCTCCGCTCTTTTCACCTTTTTTCTGCACTTTCAACTCTTCAATCTTCTTCCTTCTACGTTAAATCTGCAATAAATTTAAACACATAACTATCTTTTTTTAATTCTTTTGAATCACGAATAAGGAAATTAACTAATAAGCATTAATAGATTGTGACAAACGACACGTAGCCATTAAGTACCTACTTTGAAGGTAGAGGGCCTACACGAGTTACGTAATCCGCTGTTACGGCTATGTTTCCAAATTGAAAGTAATTATCGTTATATAAGACTCTTTTCTCCATAAGATTCTTTACAGGAAGAAGCAAACAATTTCGTCCTGGCTCTATCAGTCAGTGGCAAACAAAGAAAAAAATCAACAGCTTACGCAATAGGTATTATTGTTCGTTGAGTTGTAGAAGTTTCATCTGCAACATAGAAGAAAAAAAAGAGTTATAATTTTCACGGATCTACGCGTACGAAACAAAGTTCGAAGGCTGTGGAATGAATGACAAGACCAATTACATATCGACGCAGCCGGTGTAATTAAAAAGATCGATCAAAAAGCGTGGACGTTCCGTTTGGATAAGTTGAAGTAATAAAGATAATAGGAATAATAGCCGACAGGATGTAACGATCGAGATAAAGAGGAAAGAAGCGATAATGAGGGACGTGTGCTGGATCGATGGAGGAGTTTTGCGTCTTCTTTGCAAATGTCGATTCTTTCAGAATCGAATTAAGGGTGAGAGCAAGGGCGAGCTAAGATATTGTATGTATATGCGGAATAAAATTAATTGTACGGTCGCACGGTATGTGATAGGTTTGAGGTTATGAAAGGCTGACGTTTCTATTATACTTATCATACCGATTGCGAGAGATTTATCTCTTTGAGC